AAAAAACCCCGGTTTGGGGAAAAAATTTTTTTTTTTAAACCCCTTTTAAAAAAAACAACAGGTAATGGTAGAAAAAAAACCCCCCCCCCCCCCCCCCAAAAAAAAAAAAAAAAAAAAAAAAAAACTGGCTTTGACTTGTTTATACTTGCCATGTTGATGTAGCATTTTTTCAGACAGATAGTTGGCTGCATTACCTCATTTAAATATAGCTTGAGACCAAGGATGTGATCAGTTTAGCATCTTACACCCCATTTCTATAGATTAGATCGACCTACTTTAGATCGACCTAACTCCCTGGGGGTTCACGCTAAATAGCTGTCAGCCGGGCAGACACGAAAGTTAATTATCCCCTTACAGCTTGTAGTAGGCGGGACGGACATTTAAGTCGGATTATCTGAAAGTAATCTAGTGAGACTCCCCGCGGGGATAGATTGATCTAAAATCTATGGGAATAGAGCCTTATTCGTGGCCTTTTATGTACTTAAGACGAAATTTCTTTCAGGACAAAGTAAATGGTTACACTAGTAGGAATGCTTTCATACGGGGAACCCGGCGAGTTGGGTTCGGCCAGGAGGCACGGAGAGCCCTCCTCACCTCGCCTCGCCAACCCATCCAAGCAACCATTGATTTACCGTCAAAGGGCGGTAGCGGTGTCGCGTCACAGGCCAAGGAGGACAGCAGACACCTTGACATCTCATTCGGGGCCCGTAGGCGGAAGACCTCATCACCGAACGCAGACCGTCACCTCCTTGGGAGGGCGGACTGAGCAGGACGGACGGTCTGGTAAAGCGTTTACCGGCGACCGACCTGATTCTAGGGGCCGTGCTACCCCTGGACTGCTTGAAGGAAGCTCGGGGGCCCCTCCACCGGGCAGCCACTGACGCTTCGCCACCGATAGTAGACCCCCTCGAGCCTCCGAGCTTCACTGCACTACACATGTATAGTGCCGGTGTAACATGAAAATTTGACTCCCCCTCCACAAAACTTCATAAATCTTATTTTATTTTAAGTAAATGACTGTTATCTTGTAGTATGTAAAATGGAGGCCACATTGGCACTTTTTTTGTAGTTTGCAGGTGAAAATTTTCATGAAAAAATAAGAAAATTAAAAATGTGCACATAATGAAAATCTGACTCCCCCATGAAAATTTGACTCCCCCTCCACAAAACTTCATAAATCTTATTTTATTTTGAGTATATGACTGTGATCTTGTAGTATGTAAAATGGAGGATACATTGGCATTTTTTTGTAGTTTTCAGGTGAAAATATTCATGAAAAAATAAGAAAATTAAAAATGTGCACATAATGAAAATCTGACTTCCCCATGAAAATTTGACTCCCCCTCCATAAAACTTCATAAATCTTATTTTAAGATCACAGTCATATACTCAAAATAAAATAAGATTTATGAAGTTTTGTGGAGGGGTAGTCAAATTTTCACGGGGGAACCAGATTTTCGTTATGTGCACATTTTTAATTTTCTTATTTTTTCATGAAAATTTTCACCTGCAAACTACAAAAGAAGTGCCAATGTATCCTCCATTATGAATACTACAAGATCATAGTCATTTACTCAAATAAAATGAGATTTATGAATGTTTTTTTTGGGGGGAGTCAAAATTTCATAGGGGGAGTCAGATTTTCATAATGAAAATCTGACTGGGGAGTCACGTTTTCATAATGAAAATCTGACTGGGGAGTCACATTTTAGGGGAGTTCATGGTACACCGGCATTTGACTATTCGCTCGCACCGCCGGTACCGAGACGCTTAAATGGACTATGGCCCTTTGTTACCAGTGCTTAGCAATAAAACAGCAGAATCCCCGCCCCGGGATCGAACCCTCAACCTCCTGCACCGGAGGCGAGCACTCTACCGTTTGAGCCGTCCGTTCCATAGATCGTTAAAAATGGCAATTCTGATTTCCTTGCACGAACCTACATGTACCACGATCTACTGCACAGGGAAACACTTCCATTTAGGCCATTCGTTCCAGGGACCGAGACGGAAAGGCAAATTTGATTTTTGTTTTGAACGACGTCAAGAGTAGCCTTCTCCTCGGAAGCTGTGTTGAATATTACGTTCCCTCCCCACCGTGTGCTGAGACCGAGAAGGCCGCCGAGCGGTGTCTACAGTGCAAGGGTAGCCTTCACCGCTGAAGCAGGGCTGCCTTCTGGTCAGAAATCAGTAAATCAGCCAATGACCGACTTATACACCCCATTCTCATAGATTAGATCGACCTACATTGGATCGACCTAACTCCCTGGGGGTTCACGCTAAATAGCTGTCAGCCGGGCGGACACGAAAGTTAATTACCCCTTAAAGCTTGTAGTAGGCGGGGACGGACACTTAAGGGGGATTATCTGACAGTAATCTAGTGAGACTCCCCGCGGTGATAGATCGATCTAAAAGTTGTGAGAACAGAGCCATAGACGAATTTTGTTCAGTGACAGAAAATTAGTGCTTTTTTCCTTTTTTACCTGGCATTTCTTGTGTGTGTTGCTAGGGTTAATTTTGGTATCAACTAGCAGGCTAGGGTGTAAACTACTGCCAGTTTCTTTTTTCAGGACCAGGCACAGGTGCGGCGCAGTCGTGAGACCTGTGGCGGAGGGGGGTACTGACTGTGAGTGGTGCAGTGGTTTGTTTACAAACAGAAGGGTGCACATGTTCAAGTAATGCCGGTAAGAAATAATGTCTGTTAACAGTATATTTTTGTGCCACTGGGAGTTATGTCAGTGTGTCTGCTGTCCATGGGGATGGGAAATGTTTCACCCAGTAATTTTGTTCATGCAGTTTTGCAGGCATTTCTTAGTTTGGTCGTCAATGGGAAATTATTTGGTGGTTTCTGCCCTTCTACTAGGCATTGCGGTCTCTCTCCGTCGTCTACCGCGTCTACCGCGACCAGGAGACCCTCACTGTGTAGGGCACCGGGCAGGGTGTTACGGTCTCTCTCCGCCTCTCCGCAATTTTTCTTAAAAGTCAATTTTCAGAGTTCAACTTTCATCGTTGACAAAACAAGGTGATGCCTTTGTTTAAGGGAAATCTGTAATTAGGGACTCATATCTCCACAAAAAAGACATTTAAACCAAAATGACGACAAGGGATTGTAGCCTATACATACCTGGTCAACTCTGCTAATTTTCGTGATTTAAAAATGTTGTCCAGGAATGACGTTACGCTCCATACCGATTGCTATCTCACTACAAAATAGAAAGGTGTGACATTGAAGATTAAAACATTGAGTTGCCTTTATGCTTATACATTAAAACGAAAAAATGCCGATATTATATAATTATTTATATTTTCGAAGGGTGTATTCATTGTTTTAAATCAGCACAAAGATAGATGCATTATTAAATAATAAGCTTCAGGAAAAACTCATTTTCGGTATCTGGATGATAATTAAGGGTTACAATATCTTTGACAATGTGGATATGTTCAGTCTGAAAAAAATCCTCACAACAATTTTATTTGCCAGTTGCAATCAAAATATTACGTGTTCCCCGTAATGATTAGCGACCCCTCCACAAGTGTACATTGCGTATTCCATGTACAAATATGGAAATGGTCACACGATCAAGAAAAATAGAAGATTTGCTGGTACTCGTTTCGAAAATAAAATGTACATAATACTTAAACCTTTTGTTGTCCGAAAATTCATTTTAAAGGGGAAATAAAAGACAAATACAGCTAAGTGACAGTTTGGCCCGACAATCTGAGCTAGCAGTTTGGAATGTGACCTGGGTCCCACCCAATTTTCATGCCACTCAATTTTCGTTTCTACAACGATCCATATATGAAGTTTTAAAGTAAAAAATGTGCTCTTGTGACAGTAAATGTTCGTACACGCAACGCACTCTTGATCTCATTAAATAAGTTTGAATTAAAAAAAAAAAAGAGAAATAAACATGGAGTGCCCAACATGGTTCGCTGCATGCCCAAAGTGAAGCCCGCAACGCCATTTTTGATTACACGTTACTTGACAAAGTTTCTCTGACGGGTATTAATGGGAAAATATTCGTTTGTCCGAAATGTTGGATTCAAATTCGGACAGGTCATATTTATGACCATCTGTCCGAAGGACGGGAGGTTATAAAAGTTAATGTCGAGTCCTGGGATGGCTTGTAAGTTGAAAAGTATTCGGCACGGACCGGTATTCGCAGGTCAGGTGAAGAAAAATATAATTATTCTTATTTGAACCGTTGGAAAAAAAATTGCCAACATAGACTGCATAAACTGGAAAACATAGTAACTTAATCATGCTTGTGCATTCATGAATTACTGCTTATGTGTAAAAATATGCGTTCGTTTCTTTTCTATTCTTTTGTAATAAAGGGATGGTTTTATGCACAGATACAACCATCAAGATACTTGAAAGAGAAGTTGACTTAAGAATCATTTTAAGCCTATATAGTAAATTATAGTTTAAAATTCTATATCCATGCAGGTTTTATTGTCATATCTCAAACTTCAGAATTTTAACATTGCCATTACTATTGTATTAATGTATCTGCATCACCTATATTATAAAAGCCCTGTCACTTTATATTTTGCACAGGTATATATTATCTGAATAAGATTTTTTATTAATGTTTAGCATATTCTTCGTTTTGTGTATATACTTCTTCACTGACAAATGTAAACAGAGATATTATAAATAATACTAGTATGTGTTAAAATTTATATATAAATATCCTTATCCGGAAAGGAAAAAAATTAGGATTGGGAAATTGGAAACCAAAATTAACAAAACTGTTACATGCCTGTGGCGCTGTCACCACCTGTGTTTAATTTTTTATCTTTTATGAACAAAACGTGCAAAAATTATACCCCCTCCCCCCCCCCCCAAAAAAAAAAAAAAAGAAGGAGGGGATTTCAAGATTAGGAAATTAAAAATCAGAATTAACAAAACTATTACATGTCCGAGGTGATGTCACAATCTACCGGTATAAGTATATGTAACGTTAGTGCTGGAGGGTCCACACATTTATGTATTTAATTTATATTAAGGCATGAAGGTAAATCCAGAAACTGGATTTTTTACATATGGACATTTCTAGCACTTTTGGTATCATTAAGCATACGCGTATATTTGGCATAGGTCTATATGATTTTAAATATCTTCTTAATACTTCAGTTAAAATGTCCTTCCTTGTTTTTCCGCCGGTCAGTATGACCGTCAAAACTACGCGGTGTGACTCGACAGAAAGCGTGCCATAGCGTCCTATTTCCGTGTATGGTCAGCACTATATAAGCATAAATTATGAACGAGCCGGTGTCAAAAGCTGCAAAGATGCCTTCTGTGTTGGATCAGATCAAGGATCACACTGTTGTTGTGGCTGATACGGGCGATTTTGAAGGTGGGTAATAGTTATCCTTGTGTTGACACTAGTAGTTTTTGTTGTACATGTGCATTACGTAATACTGCACTGCGTTAATAAATTGAACGATGAGCCCAACGAGTACTTTGATTTGAGAGAAATTATTATTTACTTTTGAACAGAAAGATTCACATATGATAGCGAACCAGCTATTTATATCATCTTTACTATTAAAGCATTTGAACTCCAAGTTTGGGTGTAGCAATGCATGAGAGCAGTAATGATCAAAGTAAAACATCAAATTTGTTAAACCGCCTTACGTTACATAAATTTGCGCGCATTAAACGTAATAGGTTGTGCGTAACTACACATGCGCTAAGATTTTTTTCATTGGCCGGGCAGCAAGCGGATCATTTTTTAGAGAAGCAATGCAAAGATGAGTGAAAACGATACGTTGTTTTAACCGAAGACGATGTCCCCGGGGCGAAACTGCCACGCCAGATGTAGAGGATCATACAAACGTTGTTTTGAAACGATGTGCTTAGCTTGTCAATGGCGATTTGGGGGAAAAGAGCAGAATTGTTGGCGAGGTACTGTGTACACGTGAACCAGCAAAGTTAATGATGAACTCATGTTGCAAAAACATAATTAAAACATGTAGATTCATCATCAACAAGAGAACTCGGGAAGTTGGTGTGATCTTGTCCCTGAAGCTGTGCCACAAGTTTTCAACTATGACAATGTTTACCAGTGGCTGGTTGAGTTCTGTGTTGACACCACGGAGAAGCCTTTGTTGCGTTGGTCGCAATATGTACTTTCAGGTTATGTGGGGCAGATTTATTACAAGAGAGACACCTCCATATTGTACTTCAAAGGAGTTGCCCTTGTGTCTTTGCCTCATCAAAAGTACACCGTGACAGTGACTAGGACATTGTCTGCAAACATTGTTTTACGGTATTGAGAATGACTGTTTTTTTTATTGTTTTTTTTAAGGGAGGGAGACTTCTTTTGTTCTTTTTATACCCATTCACAAAATAATGCAAAACACTGTCATGACTGTATGTTCAAATATCTACATTTAATGAGTACATTGTGAATTTTCTTGACTTGTGAATGAAGGACACCTGTAGAAATATCTTCCGTACACACGTTTTGTGATATGTTTACTATTTAATACATATAATTATAAATATCTTATCAGTTGAGATCTGAAAGGTATTTGCATTTTAGTAATGTTGATCTATGTATCTGATTATTATACTAGTGATCCATACTTTTAGATGTACGTACTAAATCAGTAGGGTTATATTGCAGTAATAACTGTAGATGTGCATGAAAATGACCTTTATGTTTGATAATTAACTGGTTTGGAAAAAAAAAACAAAAATAGCTCAAATAGAATAAACCCGTTTCATATTTCACATATAATCTGCTTCATTATTTCTTTTAAATAAGCATTTAATTATAACAGCTCTCATCATTATACCGTTATTGTATAATAGTATTGAAAGGTTCAAAGTTTCCATTAATAGGTTGATGTGAAAGTGTTGCAAATAAATACAAGCATCACAGCTTTTTTTCTTATTGAAATATTTCAAACATACCACTGATATATTAGGGATACAGGTAACAATGGCAGCATTACTAACTGGGTTGACAACGCTGTTAGTGTCAGATCGTTACTTGGTAAAGTTTGCTACCAGTACCAGGGAACAAAATGTCTGGCATTTAACAACCAAGTTGATAAAGTCACAATAAAGCAGGTAAAAAATAGAACGTGCATCTCGAATAATGTCTTGTTCAGATTCTTGACAAAGGGGAGCGTTACTGGTGTCAAGGACCAAATCTTGAACTTTGGGGTTTGACATGTCAATGTAGGCCTACTTTCCTATCGATTTCTGCTCAAATCCAACAAAGCTTCAGTTGCTCAACTTTTTCCAAATTTTCGGCATATAGGCCTACAGGTTGAGTTGTTCTATGCTCGGGGACCCCTTCTCTGTCGGCGGTTAATCGGGGACACCTGTCCGGCCTGTCAACGTACCTAGACTCACTTTTGCAAGTGCCATAAACGCATTGCTTATTTACCATTGCCGTAAATATCAAATATGTAAACATAATGAGAATTAATCACAGTTATGAAAAATGTTTGGAAGTAGGCTACTTGTCACACCCTGTTAACCGTATGTGCCGTACGACTGTGCTGCCCGGTCTCCACATCTTGCGGAGCCAGAGTTCACAATCCGGGAATTAAAAGTAACTAAAAATAACCTCGTTGGTGGTTTGTCTGCCTTGTTGGTTATAACAGAATATTCACATAATGATGACCGTTCACTCAGTTGTTAGTAAAATCAAACAACCTTCAGTCCTTTGCATACGATGATCAAATGTCTAGAGTGTATTTTACACCAGTGCTTCAATTACTTTCCCTTTAGTTTATTGGAATCGGATTTGCACATAACCTGGTTGCTAGACCTCTTGTTATCAAGAGGTTAGTGCTATGGCGCTCACGTGTAGTTACTGAACATATATTATCCAATTTTTAAAAATTATTTGGATTAGCTATAATAAATCTTGTTTGCATAAGTAAAATATTCTTTTATATGAAAGAAAGTACAAATAATAAACATGTTCAGATTTTCCCCATTCTTTATATTATTTTGATTGCAACTGGTAAAGAAATTGTTGAGGGATATTTCTTTTACACTGAACAAATCCACAATGTTCAATCTAACTAGGAAGATTTCGGATGGTGAAACAGCAAAAATGTAAGCCATGTGTACATAATTCCCGTTAACCTTTATGACGCAGTCGTGTTTATTTGCCACTGTCATGGAATATTTACGCTTTGCATATTGCTTTTTGACTATTGTGAAAATGACCATAAAAGGTAAAAATGTGAATCTAAGTTAGGTGTTTTATCAGAGTATTTTTTGTTGGAATCAGTTATTATAATATATCAGCCAGAGGTGGTTGACCTGAAAACTATGCAAAAGATTGATACGATCCATCCATTTTGTGGCATGACATAACTCACCCAACACGTGCCTGCAGTTTGAGGCAATGCACAGTATCTTTTTATAGCAACTATATGTTTAGTTGGCTGACGATGACTTATATATAAACAAACAGGGTGAAGCGAAAAGACGTTAGGAATGAACAAAATTTTGTTTTCAAGATTTTTGTTTTCAAATACTCATAAAATACGGCCTGTCCTGACAGCTCACCCTGCAATTTCACCTGTCCGAACTGAATTTTTAACTGTCGGTGCCGAGCCCTGTATCTAATGAAACTTTAGATGACAGATTTTGTCGGGATATGCAGTTCTATACCCTGTTCAAGGTCAACAGAATGTCAGTTGAGCATGACGATAGAATTTTTTTGCAATTTAACTGGAAAGTTATGACAACAATGTCATGGAGGCTGCATTACGCATGCTCTAAGACCGTAAGTGCTGTATGTGATATATTAATGGGGTTTTCAATTAATGTATAATTTCCTCACAATTTTTTTATTTTTTTTTCGTTTTGAACAGAACTATTAATATCAAGGAAAATAACTGAATTTTATTGATTCTGTAAATGCAGAGCATGAGCACCAAACATGAATTCCCCATGCATGTCAAATCTCCAGGACAATCTGGGAGTCTCCCAGATACAAAACGAATCTCCCGAATCTCCCGTACGGGTAACCAAATCTCCCGGATAAAAGCGGCTTTGAAAATTTGCACTACTGTCAGCTTCATAATTCTCTTCTAATTGTCTGGGGAAAGGGAGAGAAAGTGGTCGCTCCCCCC